CCTTCTTTCTTTCTTTCTTTCTTTCTTTCTTTCTTTCTTTCTTTCTTTCTTTCTTTCTTTCTTTCTTTCTTTCTTTCTTTCTTTCTTTCTTTCTGTTTTCCCAATTTGCTAGAGGGTGTGCGCACTCCCTGGAGAGAGAGAGAGAGAGAGAGAGAGAGAGAGGAGAAAGTGAGAAAGCATCCCCCATGGAACATGGTCATGCCACAGTCCCTTCTCCTACTTATCCCTCCTTTTGGGATATTTGGGCATGAATGCACATGTACCTGAAATACTTTTCAAGCTGCCAGGTCTGGGAACTGCATGGTCAGCCATGTAGAATTCAGCCACCTGAATCAGCCTGCACCACCCATTTTTAAATGCAGTACCTTAGAGCTTAACTTTTTAGATTTTCAAAGAAATTAATATTTATTTGGTACTCTTAACATCTTGTATCATCAACCTGAAAACGAATTAATGACAAAAAGCTCTTTAGTTTGTAGAATATATATACATATTAATGACAAAAAGCTCTTTAGTGTGTAGAATATATATACATACATATATATATATATATATACATATACATATGTATATGTGTATATATATGAATATACATACATATATATGTATGTATGTATGAATATATATAAAATATGACTATAACTAGTATATAGATTTCATAAATCTGTATATGGGAAAATTATATGTCTTGATCATGCCAACATTATGATGGTGACATTGCCCTATATCTTGTTGACTATTTGATCCTTGTATATTAGTATGTGTGTAGTTTTTACATCTATACTGCGGATAGAGTTTTTCTACATAATTGATTTTAATCAGGATCTATTAATCATATCTAGTATAGTCTTTTGGTAAATGTGTATTTGTAGGCACCAGCAGATGGCGTCGCATTTTTGTCTCTGGACCCCTACATGGCTGACCACTGTTTGCGTTCTGGACCCAGTGGCTTGAAAAAAATCACACCAGGTGTGCATGCCCAAGATCCCAAGAAGACAATCAAAGAGGACGGATTGCGGTGTGGCCATCTCCCTGGGGCATGATTTCTCATTTCCCTCTCGCTGTCTCTGCCTCTCTCTCTACCTCCAGCAAGTGCATGAGTTGTAAGGCAAAAATCTTTGTTTTTTAAGGTATATTTGTATTTTTTCTCTTACCTAGGAATTTTGGAGAAATCCAGTAGAGAAGTTGTAGCAGAAAAACCCAGAGCAAATGAAACTAGTACTCCTTCAGAGCAATTGCTACCAGCAAAAGAGGTAAGTGAGGAAAAAAGGAGTGTTTGTTTTCTTTTTATTCATACGTAATGTCATCGTTTGTCTGTGGATCCTACATGAATCAGAGATTCACTCATCTCTTGCACAGTCTGTACTATGTGAGGGGTAGGAAGATGGAAGTAAAGAGATCTTTGTTTTCATCTTGATTCAGAGTTTGCATTTTGAGAAAGAAGCCCAGGGGTAATTGTTGAAAAGTGAGAATAATTTTTTTTAACAGCTGATAATCACTTTATTTAAAAAATTGACTTAGGCATCTGTACTTATGACTTCAACCTCAACTCCTGGTTCAATACTCATGAAAAATTGTTCTGTACTGTTCTACAAGACACAATTGTTGAAAAGTCAGGGTTAAGAAAGCAAAAATATAGAATAGTTTAGGGACCAGCAGATGGCATAATGGTCATGTCGCTGGACTCCCATGTAGTCAACTGGGGTTCGAGTCCTAGACTCGGCAGCTTGAAACTCAGGCCAGGCACGTGTGGGTATGTGCCCAAAATCCCAAGAGGAGAATGGAAGAGAAGGGATTACAGTGGGACCATCCCCTCTGGGGAGTGATTTCTCGTAATGGGGATATTTCATCCCCTCTGCTGTAGGAGCATCTCTGGTAGTGGCTGTGATACCTTTTCAACTGGGGTTCGAGTCCTAGACTCGGCAGCTTGAAACTCAGGCCAGGCACGTGTGGGTATGTGCCCAAAATCCCAAGAGGAGAATGGAAGAGAAGGGATTACAGTGGGACCATCCCCTCTGGGGAGTGATTTCTCGTAATGGGGATATTTCATCCCCTCTGCTGTAGGAGCATCTCTGGTAGTGGCTGTGATACCTTTATCCCTTCCGTGGCCCTGTGCCAGCATCCAGTATTCTCTGCCTGAATCCAGTTCCACCTGGCAGGAGTGCCTTGGCTTCAGCTGTGACTGGCCAGCCCAGGACCATCAGCAGAGTTCTCTTTCTTTGATTCTCCAGCCTGAGGGGTGTTTGCAGCTTCCTGCTGTATGAGTCTCTTTCTTGCTACACAGCCCAGTTTAGATACTCATATCTTTTGTCACTTAGGTAACTAATACCCTACATTAAAAAAATCTTTCTTTTGAAATACCTTGATTGGTGGAGACCAGCAGATGGCAGAGTGGTTACTTACGTCACTGGACTCCCACACAGTCAACCACAGTTTGATTCCCAGACCCAGCAGCTTAAAACACCCTGGGCATGTGTGCATGTGTGCCCAAAATCCTCAAGAGGAGAATGGAGTAGAAAGGATTGTGCATGGCCATCATCCCTTGGGGGTGATTTGTTACTTTCTGTCTCTCTGGAGCATGTATGCGCCCTGTAGCAAAAATCTCTCTGTAAAAAAGAAAAAAAAAATACTTGGATTAGTTGCTGTTTTCTGAATGGATCCTGACTAATACATAGGTGAACATTTAAAAGGCAAAAGAACATATGTTAATATAAATTGAGCCTAGAGAGCAAGGCAAATAATTAAGAAAATTCACTTGTGTGGGATGCTTTAATAAAAACCAAATCAGTACAGTATTAAGAAATTATCATTAAGTGTAGAAGGTGGGGATTCAACAGATATCTATTTTGTAATAAAACAGTGAGCCCCCCATGATTCCCTTTTTTCTTTATTCAACTAATAAATGTTCTCTATTCTAACTAGAGTGTGTATGATGCCAAATATCAGATGGGATGAGAAGATGTAAGCTAATGATATTTTAGGAAACAAATAGACTTTTAAAAAGAAGTTTGAATACATAAAATTTTGTTTTCTTTTAAGAGCAACTGTTGATATGCTTGTTTTTCCATATTTTAAAAAGAGATTTCAGATAGGGACCAGCAGTTAGCATAATGGCAATGTCTCTAGACTCCCATGTAGTCGACCGCGGTTCGCGTCCCGGACCTGGTGGATTAAACTCATGCCGGGCATGTGTGCGTGCGTGCCCAACATCCCAAGAGGAGAATAAAGGAGAAAGGATTGTGGCGTGGCCATCCCCCCTGGGGGGTGATTCCTCGCTTTCTGTCTCTCTGTCTTTCTCTGTCTTTCTGGTGAGCGCATGTGCCCTATAGCAGAAAAACCTCTCCAAAAAAAAAAAAAAAGAAGAAAAAAAAAAGAGATTTCAGATAGACCAATGCATTCAAATTACATATGCATTATCATGAGCAAAGTAATCGGCAATACTCACACAAAAAGTTTTTCATTGCAGCAATGGTGATCGAATGAATAAATATCCTGACAAGGATAACAAAAGCCAGGGTTTTTGTTTTTGTTTTGCTTTTTGGAGGGGGGATTGTTTTAATTTTAATGAAGGTAGGTCCCTTTTTACATTTCTATTATAAATGTGTAGAAAGAATTACTGTTCTAGCACATGGCTATAACCATTCCACTTGAAAAACTTCGCTTATGTGACAGGCGATTAGATGAACTGAGTGGATTTAATTATTGATCAGATTTATGCAAATATAAAAGAGCTATGGTTTCAGGCCCGGTAATGTTAAAGGGCTACATAAACTTTAAAAAGGAAAATTTAGTTACAACTTAATTATAAGTATAACAAGAATGACAGCCACTTTTCTGATTATGGAGTCATGGCATCATAGACTTTAGCTCTTCAAAATGAATCATTTTATTACTTTGTACAGCATATACAAAAAGCATTCAGTTAATGCTGAATGAGGTCTACATACAAGAAAATTAGGCTAATGATCATAATCTCAGTAATTTAAAATTCAAAGAGACTATCCTAATCACCCAATTCAGGTCTTTTATTTTTCTAACAAAAAATTTGAGATTAAAAAAAAAAAAAGTAATTCAGTCAGGGATAGAGCCCAGGGTTTTCTGAAGCTGGAGTAGGTGACAAGTTACTCTAAACAAGGTTCCATTAAGAGAGGAAAAGTTTAATTCTAACCTTAGGTTCAGGTTACTACCCATAATGCTTTTAGTACTTTAGAGAATGTTAGGGGACTTGGGAGAAATGATACATTCGTAACTATATTGCCATATAAGCTATAGACCAAAAGAAAAAAGAAAACAAGACAGTATTGAGTCTCGACCCCAACCCCTCTAGTCTCTCCTCCCACCCAGAGCAACAGGGAGCGTTTGAATTCCTCATTTCCTGGAGCAAAAGCAATGCTGCTTAGTGTATTGCAGGTGGAGAGACTAAATAAAATTCTAAGCAAGTAAAAAATCTAGAAAGGTACCGGGGTGTATTTTCTCTGAGAAATTTCTTATTGCTATTTTTTGGCATGTCTGGATTTCTGAGCGTGAAAAAGAAATAAAAGAGTGAATATTAAATGCTGTCTTATGTTGCAATACTTGTTAACAATAAACTATAAAAAAGACTATAAAAATCTAATTTAGACTTTATTAAATATATTGAATTTAAAGGTTGCTTTATGTGATAAATAGTAAGTGTAGCTTTCAACTCTCATAAAGATGGTTTTATTGAACTATATTTAAGAGATTAAATTTTGAAAAAAGTTTTTGATTAAATCCACTGATGAATTAAAATGAAATGTCAGTATATTACCTTGTGTAAAGAATGCACATGTTTTTGTATATTGCTTTATTCACTAGGTAATATTTTTCAGGTTGTAGGAATGGCTTTCATAGTATATCAGAGAACACCCATATTCAGCATGCTGAAGGAAAGTAATAATTTTATATCTGTAACAATAGAAACATTTGTTGCTGAGTTAAAATTAATATGACTTCATATAAATTTATATTCCAGACTACTTTACTCGAGTTTAGCTGGAGAAGTGCATTTAAAGAAGTGTCTCTTCCCATGGCACACAGTATAACAACTTCAATTGAAGATTTTTCCACACAAATTCTCCAGCAGGAACAGAATGAAAGGTCTTCAGCTGCGAGCTATGTTATGAACCTTGTAAATGTCTCACAAGTTTGGCAAGACAGCTGCATGTTTCCTGAGGAGGAACAACCGAAGAAAATTGCCAAGGCAAGTATCAAACGAAACCCTTTCAAACGGCTGACTGGGATGACGGGATTATTTTCTTTTTTTCTTTTTCTTTTCTTTTCCTTCTTTTTTTTTTTTTTTAAATATCAGGCATTGTATAAGGAACTTAGGGATCAAAGACTGGAGTCTCTTGGCTCCAACTTGGTACTTGACCCAGTACCAGTCTTCTCTGCTACCTATGGGCCGCTGCTACCACAAAGGACTTATACCTGTTAGCTTAGTGCTCTGTGAGTCTGAGGCCACAAAAAAAGGAGACTTTGTGATTTCCAGGAAGCTCATTTTGGTTGTACATTTGAATGACTCTCAGAGAAATTTAGGAAGATGAAGAAAGTACTGTCTTTTCTTAGTTTGGGTAATTTTATTTATCTTTATTTATACCTTAGCGAATGTTCTGTTTTATTTATTTTTTTTTTTAGAAGTTTTTGCTATAGGGTGTGTGTGCTTGCCAGACAGACAGAGACAGACAGAAAGCGATAAATCACCCCCAGGGGGGATGGCCACGCCACAATCCCTTCTCCTCCATTCTCCTCTCAGGATCTTGGGCACGCACACACACGCGCCCAGTGTGAGTTTTAAGCCACTGGGTCCGGGACACGAACCAAGGTCGACTACATGGGAGTCCAGTGACATAGCCATTACACTAACTACTGGTCCCGTGAATGTTCTGTTTTAATATCAGTAGTCTTAAATCTTCTTTACATGTATTTTGAAAGTCTTATAACATACTGAAAAAGTAGGAAATAGATAAATATGAGGGGACTTCAGAAAGTGTGTGGAAAAAGGAATGGAAATATGAATTTATTTTGGTGTAACAACAACTGAAATCTATGCATAATTTTTTCTCGTAAGACATACTTCCTATGACCGTTTTGAAGACTCTTCATATAGTTACTCAGTTTTAAGTACACAGCAAGAATAACAACCTCTGATTGGGAGGTTTTAAGAGTCCTTAGAGACCAGCAGATGGCATAATGGTTACATCGCTGGATCCCATGTAGTTGACCACAGTTCAAGTCCCAGACTGGGTGTCTTAAACTCATGCCTGCGAGTGTGTGTGCATGCCGAAGATCCCAATAGGAGAATGAAGAAAAAATTGCAATGTGGCCATTCCCCCTGAGGGATGATTTCTCACTTTCCGTCTCTTGGTCTCTCCCTGTCTGGCGAGTGCACACGCTCTATGGCAAAAACCTCTCAGAAAAAAAAAAAAAAACCAACCCCCCTCTTTAAAAAAAAAAAAAGAATCCTCGAAGATAGCCTTTTTTTTTTTTTGTAAAGAGATTTTTGTTATAGGGCATGTATGCTCGCCAGAGTGACAGAGAGAAAGAAAGTGAGAAATCACCTCATGGTGGGGATGGCCACTCTGCAATCTCTTCCCCTCCATTTCCCTCTTGGGATCTTGGGCATGCATGTACATGCACCTGGGCATGAGTTCTAAGCCACCAGATCCAGGACTCGAACAGGGATCAACTATGTGGGAGTCCAGCAATGTTACCATAATGCCATTTGCTGGTCTTGAAGATGGCCTTCCTATTCTGCTCTTGTCATCCTGAGAATCCAGAACATTCCCTCAAGGAACTCTGTTGACCGATCAGATGTGAAGGCAGCCTTTTTCTTGTCATTCGCTATCCCCCCTCTACCATTAAAACACAGCAGATAATGTGATAAATAGTGAGAAGCTCGTAGACACATAACTTGTGAAAGTCTCTGACTTCTTAAGAATAAGGAGATGCTACATGAGATTGTTTCTGTTGTTTCTATTACATTATTTTTAATGTACTTACCTTTATATGGGAGGTTTAGTTAAAAAACACCTATGGGGGATCAGCAGTTAGCGTAATGGCTATGTCGCTGGACTCCCACGTAGTCAACTGCAGTTCGTGTCCCGGACCTGGTGGCTTAAAACTCACGCCGGGCGCGTGTGCATGTGTGCCCAAGATCCCGAGAGGAGAATGGAGGAGAAGGGATTGTGGCGTGGCCATCCCCCCCGGGGGGTGATTTCTTGCTTTCTGTCTCTCTCTCTGTCTGGCGAGCGCATGCACCTATAACAAAAACTTCTTCAAAAAAACAAACAAAAAAACCATCGATGGAAATTTAGCGAAAGAAAATAAGTTCAAAAACAAAGCAACCACTAATATCAAGGATACCTGTTTTCTGAGTTCTTCTAACTACAAGTAAAGGTATTGTTATGTAAAGCTGATTCATGAGTTTTTCCTAAGGTCTACCGGTTGAGCATAAAGGTCTGTAAAGAGAAGCGTCATTTTGGAATTGCCTCATTTGACATAAAACATCTAACTTTCTATGACGAGCAATCCATTATCATAAAGCCGTGTCTTTATATTTATGTGTGATGCCAAACTCTAGGAATTTGGCTCCACTGTACATGAACTGCACGGTGCTGTCAGCGTACAAATAACTCAGTGCCGCATTTATTTCCCCCTAGTTTTGTTCTGACATCATGGAAAAACTGGACACAATGCTTCCACTGGCTCTGGCGTGCAGAGATGCTTCTTTTCAGGAAATGAGAGCGAACTTGGTGGAGGCCTGTTGTAAAGTGGCAACAGCTGTCCTGGCGAGACTGCGGGAGAGAGGCATGGAGGTTCCTTCCAAAGCACCCCTGAAAAACCTGCACACCGTCCTCTCCACAGCTGTGTACGTCTTCCAGCATTTTGTGCAGTATAACAATCTGCTGAAGGAAACGACCAAGAAGTGAGTGTCACTTACGTTAAGTTGATGGCCATGCTTACAGAAACATGTCGTCTTTGGCTTTTTTGATGAAATATTTAATATTTGAGTAATTAACAGTGACTTATTTTCATTTGTCTTGACTAGGAGGCATTAAGAAAGGAGAGTTTGGGATATATCAAACTAGATACACACCTAGTAAGAAAAGGAGTCTTTGCAACAGCTTACTCTAAGACCCGTGCATTTTTCTGTATTCTAATGCAGAGCAACTATTTTCCACACATTGTTATGACATGATTAAATGTACCCTTTCCATTTGGTAAGGCACACTTGTACTGACCCCACTGAAAAGAACAAATAAACTCGTTTTTGCTCATACATGCGTTTGTGAAATATTCACTTCCCTGTTTTGTTTCCAAACCAACAGGCTGTTAGGAGCTGACAGAGAGAATAAATGCACTTTAATCTATCTTAATAACCAATGTAAACATATTTAAGGACATCCATTTGGTAGTAAACTACCCATAATAATTGAAGAGGAAGCATCTGACAGTCTTAATTCTCATGTATTAATATACAAAGAATGTGCATTTTTTTTTGCAGAGATAAAACTTACTGTCGGTGGGAGCCAGCAGGTGTCATAGTGGTTAAGGTGCTGGACTCCCATATGGCTGACCATGGTTCAAGTCCCTGACCTGGGGGCTTGAAACTCACGCCAGGCATGTATTCGTTGCATGCCCAAAATCCCAGGAAGAGAGTAGAGAAGAATGGATGGTGACATAGCCATTCTCCCTGGGGCGGGTGGGCGGGGGGCACGATTTCTCACTTTCTCCTCACTGTCTCTCTGTCTCTCCAGTGAGTGCACATGCCCTATGGCAAAACCTTAAAATAAATTACTGTAGGTTTAATCACACTATCTTTGTGGTTACCCTTGTGCTATCCAGAACATGACTTGACTCTTTGCAAAGGCACATGTAGATTTAGCAGTACATGTAATCCCAAGGATCTAGTCTATGTGCTTTGTTTGGCTTTTGCAATCGCTTGTTAAGAGAAAAAGCAGTGTAATATAAATCACCAAAGATAAAAGTAAAATGAGTGTGGCTTGATGTAGGATATAACTATGATATTTCTTTAACTCTTACAAGTTTTCAGATGTTGTGATTCGTACTTGAATTTATAAACAAAATGTGCCAGAATCACTTTATTTCTGTAGAATATTTCAAAACAGTTTATGAGATAATTGACATCTACAAAATTACAATTTTTTCAAATGAAAAGAGTGTTGGTAGGACGTGTGATAGCTTCATGAAAGTTGGTTCTGACAAGCGCGTGTTGTTCTCCAGTAATAACAATAACCTAATGCCTAAATAATGCACTGATCTCTAATAATAGGCTTATGAAGAATACTTTCATTTTTGAGTGATGTATTGACAATGCAGTTTGTCTCGAGTTGAAGTGCATATTTGTAGAACAGCAGATGTACGTTTTCAAAGGACTTGCAAAACAAAGACTCGCTTTTTTTTCGTCTTCTTTTTGGAAAGTGAATGTGGATGCAGACTTCAGCATTAGGAGGAAATGAATGATTGATATCTAATAATCAAAACCATTTGTAGTACTGGAGATTGTTACCTCCTACTGCACAGGCCTTAAATCTCTGTCTCTTTGATCATTCCCACCGAACAGACCCATATTCCTGGTGCCTGTCCAACGATATCAGGAATTCATCAACACGCTACAGTTTCAGGTTACGGACTACTGCGTCAGAGTTTGTGCTACAAGCATTTTACAGGATGCTGAGAGCCACCACTGGGATGACTACAAAGCTTTTTATGAGGTGTGAAGTTAAGTTTACTATCCCTCCTTTTTACACAAATATGTTTTACTGCCTACCTGCTTTCTGGCTAATTAGAAACATGAGCTTGGCATTACTAACACACGAAGGCTGTTAGGATAATATTTTTTAAATATTGAATTTGTACTCAGGAAAAACACTGTTTTTAAAAAAAACCTGAAATAAATTAGACATCAGAACTCTCCTTCTGCTTAAAAGCAAAAATAACTTAATTTGAGCTGCCATGCGGCAGTGCGATGTAAGTTGAAATATAATGGGAGACAGTGAAAATTCAAAAGGATAGCAGTGCAAAGATGTTATGAACTTATATTTTTTTCTGAAGGGGCCATTTATGGGTATTCTTACATTTTTTTTCCTTGTTAATCTATTTCCATCTATGTTTGATCTTTTATTTATTTTTTTTTTTTTACTAAGCAGCTTTATTCTTTTTCTTTACTTTTATCTTCTCATCGTACTTAGGACTGCAGTTCGAGACTCATCTGATCATTTATAGCTTACCTGTTTTCCTTTAAGAACGTATTTTAGAATCCCAAATTTCTACCGAATCAAAGCCTAATGATTCCAAGTGCAATAAAACCTAGGATCCGTTTAACTTATTTGTCACCCAGCTTCATCAGTTTACAGCCGCCTAAGTCTTATTGGTTATATGTGGACTGCAGTATTTGAAATGTTTGGAAGTCAGTCCCAGGGCAGGGTGGAATGTGTACAATATCTTAGTAAAAGATCATCAGAGTTTACAAAAAAAAAAAAAAAAAAAAAAATCAACAGCCAGGTCCAGTTTCATTAGCTTTTTCCATGTCCTCACCATTTTTTCTAGATCGAAGTTTATGATCTTTTTCTCAATTGTCCTAATCACAATGGAGTATTGAGAAGAACAAGAGTGGAGTTTTATTCAATAGTTAACTCCTGTCGCCTCCCTGGTACTAAAGATTCCTGTGCCTCCTTTAACACTTGGATTATTATAATAAATACGTGTTGCCACAACAGAGAGGAGCAGCTAATAAGGTCTTTTAAAGGACTTTGCACTTTTTCGAAGGCCATTTCATCTCTCCTTTAGAGGCCCTTCCCAGATAGTTTTTCTTTTTGCAAGAGCGTCCATGTAGGGTTTTCCAGACCTGACATACTTCAAATAGTAGTGGTAGCACTAAGCGGAATGAGAAAGAGAAAGTGGGATGGTGCAGCTGGTAGCCTGAGATAAGAATGAAAGTATTTGGTCTTCCCTCTCCTGGCAGTATTGCAGCTTCCTTATTTGCCTTGAGGTAAACAGAGAGGTTGAAAATGAATCCATCTCGTGTTTTAAACTATTTCAATATGTCAGGGTACTAATGAGCAATTTTATATCCTGTTTTCAGTGAAGAGCAGGTATCATCGTTCGGAATGTTCAACATAAGGATATTATGTTTCCTCTTATGCAAATTGGGAGCTAGAATAGTTGTACAGTATAAATAATAAGTGGATACATTGAGAACCTGTTATTGAAGTTACCAAGTATTTAAAAAAAAAAAAACCCAACAAATTACCATGTAACACGCAGCTCTTAGATCTTATGACAAGGCTTTAGCTTCAAAGACAGAAATAACAAGATAGTTACCCTGTGATTACATGGTACTGTAGCTTCCATATACTTACATGGTCAGTAGTTACAATTTAATTGCAGAGTGAGCAGTTGTTATTTATGCTCAGAAAAAAATCAAATGATACTGCTTTTCTATTTACCAAAAATAAGAACCTTCTAAAAATAGCACAGATTTTAAACTGTTTTGACAAGTGGAGTACCTGATGTGATTTTTATCTCACTTTCTACACTCCTTCTCCTCTCCCCTGTTATTCCAAATGCTTTGTAGAACAGAGCTGCTGTGTTTTTGGCAGGTCTGTTTGGAGAGGAAAAGAGATGCTATCTACCTAACTGAAAGCAAAGTACAGGATAGAGATCTCAGGGGAACCTATCACCATGTGCAGAGGGTAGTGAAGAAATAAAAGAATAATTTACAAGATCTGGAGCCATATTTGCTTATGTCTTGTGATAGCAAGTGAGCCTTCGATAAATTATTTCCATTTCTGATCTGTCAGTTTACAGAGGCAGAGAGTTCTGTATCTCTCTGATGAGGTGCTGGTCAGATGGTACAGTGGGTGTTCAGATTACATGTTTAAAATTAAGCTCTTAGTATAGTTGACATCTGCTCAATTTTAGGAACTTGTGTTTTTCAATAGTCAAAGAATAAAGAATTGTCTGTTCAAAGATAATATTGAGTGGCTTCTATAATAAAGCCCAGCTGCTCATTTCCTGATATATAATCTAAATAAAGACTCACATCTGTTTACATTATAGTGGGTCTGCAAAAATAACAGATGTTTACTAGCAGAATACTTTTGAAATGACAACAAACAGGGAAACAGGTCAGAAAAATAAATGAATCACATTTACTTTCATGAAAACCCTTGCATATATTGATAAACATGTTTTAAAGAGAATTAGTAGAAAAAGACCAGTTTGGACTATATTTAAGTAAACCATGAAGTTTATTTTTTACAATAAGTAATTTTTACTTTTAGGAGAAGAAATCATGTGAAAGTTATTTTTATTTTCTCGTTTACTGGTAAAGAGTGGCTACAAAGGACATCGGGGTTTTTTTTTCCATATTTTGAAAAATACAAGAAATCAGTTTGATTGAGTTATACAAGTACTCACTCGCTGTCACCTGGAAAATTGATGAAACTCATTCTTGCTAGTCACTACATCAACTGGGGACCA